ATATACGCGCTCTATTTCGTTGGCAACCGTGGAATACCAGCGGTGAAATACTGTATTGATTAATTTTTGGAGGGCGTGACACCCTCACTTTTTCCCTCCATCTAAGTGCGTAACATAGCAACGGTTACCGTGTGCAAACTATAGTTTACGACTTTGTTATTTTTCACGATGTTATACGTATATATAGTAAATTTATCCCAACTGAGTACTAAATTTAAAAGTACCTATCAACATCTTCTACATTATATTTGCTTTAGAAGTTTATTACACACCTAATTTATAGTTTTAGATAAGTCAAGGCTTGTAAAATATTATGATTTAAGAAGTTCATATAATTCGCTTTAAAAATAAAATATCGAAAAAAACACCTTCGACATAACGCAGTAACTGTTGTTACCTTTAAATTTGATAATTGCCAACATTTCAATAGTTGATTAGTTAAAGGTAAGGGTAATTAAATTTTAGTTGAACGAAGTTGGTTCACGCTATTACGACATATATAGGAATATCTTACTACCACTCCGCTTTACTCATCAAAACTTTAAATACGTATAAATAACTTATGTTATGACTTATAAACAACCATAAGTTTTGAAAATTTCATCACGTATAGTAAAATTCATAATATACGTAAAAGTTTTACGTTTCCACGAATAAACCGATTTCAACCCGACTGCAGCGCAGGCGCGCAGCCGTATTTCTCAAATCAATAGAATTTTTCCACAAAATGAGTAACACTGAAAACGTCGTCACGTTCGTAAACTAGGTCAATGACCCGATGAACAATGAATACTGTATTTTATATTAATTGTCAATTTTTTACCAAGGCAAAATTGAGTAAATCAGCTAGTAAATTATAAAACAGTTACTTTTCACATTGTCACTCTTTTACCTCAAAACTAAAAAATAAATTTGAATTAGATTTTCACGGTTGAATAGTTTTTTCAGTGAAGTATTAAACATAATTTTGTAGACACAATTTCCAGTTTTTACAGTGACTTTTTTTTAAATTTTATTACGGAAACACTATTTACTTAACCATAATAAAAGTTGTTTACATATTTTGTTGCTCAATTTTTTTCGTCTGAACTCTGAGAGTATACTTACATAAACCGATTTTTTCGTGAATTTCAGAAAAGTGTTTTACAAACGAACTACATTTAACACCTTATCCAAAAGCATTACAAGAGGTTTATCCATATCAATTGAGAGTTTGTCCATAAAATCAAGTAGGTAACATTAACACTATCTATGTGTAGTCTAGTTTACGACGTTTACGTACCTACGCTTAAACCGAAATACAACGAGCGCCGTAGTATTTTATTCAGGACGGAGTCAGATTATTATTATTTTATATCTATCATCCATTTATACCTAATTATATTAGTTAGTAATTTATCTTATGTTTGTTTAATTCAAACTTAACACATTTTGGCACAGTGTGAAATGTGAAATATAGTCTTATAGGCATCAGCTAATCTTCAAAATTACTAGATTCGAATTTAGATTTCGATTTTTCGTCAACATTATAACTAGAGCTGTAAATTTGTAGGAAAATAATTTTTTTTTTGATGATTGTGAAACGTAACTTTGTAAGAACATAATTTGAATTATGTAGCAACAAATCCATTTATGAAACTTTTACTTTGCAGTTTTTTACATTTTTTAACTTTTTAATTTTTTAAGTCAGTTTTTGCATTTATAAGTCATATTTTCCTTTTAAGTTAATTTTCCGGTATTTTTAATTTAACTGAGTTGATTGACAGCTTTGAAAACCTAATAATTCGTAATAATGGATCCAACTCATGTCTATGGAAAATTTAACAATGAAAAATAAATTCATGTGTTGAACCTGTGGCGCAAATTGTTTGCTTGTTATTGTGTTTTTTTAAATTATTTTCTACGAAGCCATTCACTTCACTATATTAAAAATTAATTGCTTATTTCAATCAAATTTGTTCGTTCACAAACGAGATACACCGATATCGATTTGATAAGTGCAGTACTAAACCTAAATACATTGTTGATCGTATTTCACATTTTTCCATTTTTTTTTCCCTAATGAAGTCAGATAATATGTCTAGTAAATCTAAAACAAATTTTCGACAGCATTCCATCCTTAACAAAAATATATAAACTTTCAGAAAATCTTGTCTTTTATAAATATTAAGATAGGATATTAATTGATTCTTTGAAATTATTTGTCATAGGATTTTGGAATCTTGGAATTCATTAATTAAAGAATTGTTTTCCCACGGCTTTTTGAAATATGTAATATAGCAAAAAATGTAGTTTATAGTTATTGTTTCTATAATAAACAAAGTAAAATTGTAATAACTGTGTGATCACAAAATAACCTTGTGCAATGGTTCACAGTAGTGATTAGTGGCGAATAATAATTGATAGCAAAGTAACGAATGCTTAAAATAAAAAAATAAAAACAATTATAAAAATAACTAAATAATTAAGTAAATAAATAAGTAGGTAGGTAACTATTGACCAAGAAATAATTAAGTGTTGTCGTGTTGACCATTATCGAATTGATTTATAATAGGTATAAAATAATACTAATAATAATTATAGTTTAAAATGTTAGGGAACCAAAGTTCAATATACACTGGGAACCAAACGTCATACTGTTAATAATTCATGAAGATCGAATAATATTCTGTCGACTAGTCGTCCTGTCTTAACATTTGTCGAGCGACTCAACTCTTGCTTTCGGAAAATAAATAAATATAAATATACTTGTAGCGCCATCTATCGAACTTTTGCAAAGACTTTTTAAAATGTTCTGTGAACTACTTTTTCAGTTTACTATTACCTACTTATTTATATAGCTACTTAATCGTGTCAAAAATCTTTGTTGTTTAAATTTTAATTTTTTAATTTTTTCCATGATGATATTTTGTTATACAACTAGTTTTATATAGCTCAAAGTGCAAAGTATAAAAATTACAATGAACATACTGCATAATACGTGTACTGATCGTTATGTAAAACACTGCTGTGACTTGTGACCATTCATTAATTATTTAAACGATACAGCAAGTTTCTAATGAGCTTGAGACATTATTGAAAAAAGTAGGTAATTAACAGAACACTTGTAATTTAAATGGCAATACGTAAAGAACGATTTATTAATTATTTAACATAAGAACTAAGAACATAGAATAAAAATAGCCAAGTGTTGTAAATTTACTAGAACTGAGAATTACTAAGAAGATACCTACTTGCGACGATGTGGCTGTGACAAAATCCATGACAAGCCATAATCTTACAAACTAGGATAATAGCCAGTAGACCAGCGTAGTATGGTAACTACCTTGTGCTCTTGTGCATAATATTATTTGTTACTCGTCCCGATTCATACAAATCCTAGCAATAACATATTGTAGCGTAATTTCAACAATAAAATAAATATGGACTATTGTGTTAATCTTAAATAGATAAACTACTGAAAATAATGTGCATCTATTAGCAGAAACAGCACATTTTAACCTTTAATATATTATGCTTAATGTTAAAATAATATCTAATTTTAATGTACTTACGCTATAATATATTAATCATAATAATATGGTAACCTATATATTAAAATAATTTAATAATATTATTTTGGGTTTACTGTTTACTAGATATGATTGCATGAGTGACTCAATTCTCGTATACACTTGGACTACATATCGTGTTAAATGAATTATGATATAAATTTTATATAATATATACCTATGCATTTTATGGTATTACCTTCATCTATCAAATACCTATAAACTTAAGTATACATGGAGTACCTACATAATATGTATCTAACTTAAAGCTAATAAAACATTCTAATTATTAAAAAATATATCTTACACATAATCACTAATCAGTACCACAGAATAAATAATAATAATTTATTCTGAGTCAGTACCATCAATATCATAAGTAAGAGTAAATTTAGGAGACAATTATTGCCATTCAATTGTTGCAAAATTAATTTAATTTTAAAATGTGATTTGATAACTAATGTCATTGCTTTGTGATAATAACTATCTAAAATCCTTGATCATACAAGAAGTATATCCATTATTACCCAACAATGTTTAATAGGTATAAAAAGATCAAAATAATGTCATCTACAACCACAAACTTCTATAATGCAATATTAGTACTTATTTTAGAAATTTGTATCAACAACATCATATTTCACACAGTTTATTATCAAACTACATAGATATTATAATATGTTCTAAGTCTGTATTAAACTTCAATTATAGACTTGAACTAATTTAAGGTTTATGATTTCAGTCTATATAACCACATCACATACATTTATTGTAAGCACTGTAATAGCCAATTTTGTCTACTACTGTAACTTCACATCACAAAAATGTCTATTAAAAATAGTTATGATACATTATAAAATGAGCCAAATTAAGTATAATGTATAACACAATAAATTCTACCAAAATATTACTCAACTTTACTAATATAAAATTATAATAAAATTACTTAATTTTTCCTATACCTACTATTATGTATCAAAATCATTAGGTTAACATTTTTTGATTTTTTTAAATCACTAATACAAAATTAGTGACACTAATAAGAAAATCTGACTTTGAGCTACTTACAATGTGATCAGATTAAATCATACATTTACAAACATAATTTTAAATTTTTGAGAGAAATAATTCAAGGCAAATATAAATATAAATAACACTAGTATATAAATATAAATTGATACAAATTTATGAATAAATTACTTTGAAAATTAATCCGATATAATAAAAATAGTATACTAATACAGTAGAAACTCGATTAACCGTCAATGTCGGGACCGGGACAATGACGGTTAATCGAATAGACGGTTAACAGAAATACAATAATACAAAACAATTTTTCAATAAACGTATATATGTATTTTACAACGTAATTTTCAGAAAAAAATAAATATAATAGTTATAAAATAATAATAAGTAATAAATAATAAATATGTACTAATAAATAATAAATACTAATATGTAAATAATATGTAATATGTAATAACTTAAAGAATACCATTCTAAAAAATATTAAACAAAATAATCCGTCATCTTCATTGCAAATTATCACATTTATCGCATTTATTGCATTGATATTATAAACTATTTTTATACGCATGATAGTCGCCGCGTTAGGTACCATAACGATTTTATCGCAATCGCATCGTTAATTTTTTTTTAGACGGTGACCGATGACGGATAACAGAAACTGACGGTAAATCGAGTTTTAACTGTAATTAAAAATTATGATGAAGCCAAATATATAAATAAAATTGTCATTATTTTAAAATTGCATGAGGCAAAAAGTGAGTTGCAAACATCTCGTACTCAATCGTCTATTTTTTTTATTTTCAGTGGTTCTATTCATATGTTTGGTTGAAATTGGAATAGCTAGTAGAAATTTTAAGAACAGCATAATATGCTATATAATAGTAATTCGTTGCATTTTGAAAATACATTTTTGTTTTTTTATCCATGGTGTTGCTGCATTCCACAATATTCTGTTAAAATTTGGTGGACATATTTGTTAAGGATATAATAATCTGTAATAATATTATGTACATGTTATCCACATATTTGATTTTTAATTTTTTATACTGTATGTTTTTAAAGTATGAATGTTCTTTGTATTGTATTAATTTCTTTGATTATTTTTAAAATGGCATATTAACAAGACACACATTAATTCATACATCATATTTTATGCATTTTTAATCCATGTAATTCTTATCTCTAGTTTTAACCATTATACAAATTTTTAATTTACCAGTTTAATATTACTTACACAAAAATAAAACACACTTCAATTTTTAACAATTTAAATTTAAAAAATATTCTATCACACGTCTCATTGTTCTTTGATTCTCCATTTGTCAGCAATTAGAACCACTTTTCCATCCTTTTCTAATTTAACAAGATGATTTTTTACAACATACATAGCTATTTTCTTATAATCATTTGGAATAACCTGAAAAAAAATAATATATTTAACAATAATACGATAGATTCATATTACATTAAAAATATAATAATGAGTTTGGAAATTTACCTTATACATTTCATTTACAATATCTTCTTCAGACAATGAGCCAGATGGACTTTTAGTAATTAAGTTATATAACTCCATTTCTCTTTCTAACCGATACTTAATGTAATTATTTACTCGAACAATTGGATCCTATAAAATATACACTTTTTAAGTCTTTCAATTTATGTCATAAAATAACTATAAACAATTTAAAAAAAAAACATGCATTACCTAAACAAAATATATTTGTAGTTAAATAAAATGAAGACACGATTTAAACAAAAATTCAATGTAGTAATTATGGCTTGGAACTTAATGTAATAAAAAAATCTTAAATGTACAATTATTTTTTTTTTTTTTTTACAAAAAATGCAGTTATATTGGAAAAAAAATTAAATTGATAGTATAATAACAGTATCATACAGATTACCATAGAAGTGAACAAAGGCTCATAAAACAATAATAAATTTCTTTAACAATTATTTTTTTTCATTAAAAAAAAATTTTATATGCATAAAATCATTAAGTTTACAAAATCACTTTAATTTGATAAAATATACAAAAAATGCAACATGCAATTTTAGATTTAAGTTGTATATACAAAAAAACAAATTTGCATTGAAGTAAGTAACTCCCTAAGAAATTTTCAAATGCACAAAGTTAGGAATTCTCAATAATAAGTAACTTAACATTTAATATTTAAAAATCACTATATATGTTAATTACTTTTATAACAGAACCGTGACCAGGAAATATAACTGTTGGGTTTAGGTCTATAATCAATTGTAATGATTTTAAATATTCTGTTAGATCTTCAAATACAGTAGTTCCCTCTCCAAGCACACAATCAGCAGAGAACAATGCCCTATCTTCTTCCAAAAACATAACTATATGATCAGTTGTATGTCCAGGTGTGTGATGAATTCTAAAAATTATTAAATATTATTTAATACAATATAATAAATATTATATTGTAAAAATATAATTTTTATTCAATAATAACAAGGAAAGATAATTAAATAGTTACGTTAAAGTAGCACCTTCAACATGAAACTTTTGTTTATCTTCAACAAAATGAAGTGGAAAGTTGTAATCTCGCTTTTTACCTATTTTTGGATTGAACTTCCAAACTTTACATTCTAAAATATAATTTGTTAGTATTAATTTATATTCTTATCAAAAATATATTATTTTATTTTAATATAATATAAATATATAACCCATTCATAATTATTAATATAGATGTTACAAGTTCAAAATGGATATTGAAGCGAGTTTTAAAAATGATCATAATTTATTAGAATTTAATAAGAAAAAATGTTTAAAAAATAATAATAATAAATGTTTACAAAAAAATTTTGAAAAGTATTAAAATATTAATTAAAAGTTTTTTGTATATTTATCATATGTTATCTATGCAAAAAAAAAAATGTATTCTTAATTTACCAAAACATTTTTATTGGAGCTTGTAGTTTTACAGTTATTATTGAAATTATAATCTTCTTATACAAATGTGTCTTTTATGTCTATTAAAAATTTTCTAAACACATTACTAAGATGGACTGAACCCTACCATTCTTTCTGCAATGACCTTTCAGGTAAGTTTGTTGTTCTACATAATCTTATATTACATTTTATTTTTATGTTTTACAAGCACCAAAAACATACTAGACGATTAGGTATATATAAATATAATTGTAACACTAGTTGATAATGTATTGAAAATAAAATGGGGAAATTTTAGATAATTTTTATTAAGAAAGATAGCATATGACATGTATACCAAGTTTTGTTTTAAAATTAATATATATATTATAATTTTAAATGTACAAATTGTAAATAATGGCTATGAAAATTCATTCAAATTATAAACAAAATCATTTATTATTTACTGACATATTTTCTGAACTTAATTACGAGTATAAATTTTTATTTTTTTTATAATTTTAACAGTAATTAATAATAAAATAGTTTTTTTTTTAATACCTACCAAATATAAATTTGTAGACTTAGATGAATAGTTAAAAGTCTATATGCTATAGTTCTAATTAGATAGTTGAAATATGATAAAAGTACTAAATTCTATTTGTTATTGGCATAATAATAATCATACAAAAATATAATCGCATAACAATACGAGAAGCTTACATACATAGTTTATGGTTACTTAGCTTGAAATTCCTATAACATTTTACATTATATTTCTAAAAAAGAATTTTTAATAAGTTAACATGCTAATACTTGCAACAGATTCATCAAAATGTAATTTAATCTATTTTAATAAAATCATATACATAAGATATATATTAATATATTACCACTTTTATTAGTGATCATATCCAACACATTATTTACTCCGCCAATATGATCCGAGTGCCAATGTGATATTATAATATGATCAATTTGAAAATTATACTTCATCATTGTTTCTTGAAGATTTTTTATGTATTCCGGAAAGTTTGGCTCTCCTGTATCAATTAATATACGCCTATAATAAAATATTATATCAATAAATCAAATAAAAATATAAGTTTAAATTTGAATATTAATAATTTACACAATGATTATTATAAAAATCAAAAATGTATATATTTAACTATAATAACAAAAACTTTAATTTTTATTTTTTTTATATATTTTTTTTATTATATGATATTAGATTCTTAATAATAATTACTAGGGCTAGATTCATAAGCATAAGTATGTTTTTGTGCTATTTCTGATTATTGTTTAATGCTATTGCTTACAATAAAATGTATATCATTAAATATTTCAACTATTAAAAGGTAATATACCTAGTCGTACCATAAGTTCTGTCCCTATTTATAAGTTGTTCTATTAATATTTTACAATAACACTAATGACTTTGTTTATGAATATAATTTTCAACAATTGTCATATTTAGTATTTTTGGTTAGTACGATTGTTCACATCACGTATTAAACATGGAATGGGGTATTAAAGAAAATTGTATTGCTGTTATTGTGTTATTTAAGTGTAATAAAACACCATTAGAGATTTTTAACTTTTTGAAACTGTTAAAAATAACGAAAAAATTTGTTTATCAGACCATAAAACGGTTCAAAGAGTTCAACACTATAGATGACAAGCCAAAAAGTGGACATCCACGTGAAATAAGAACAAATGCAGCAGTCAAAGCTGTCACACAGAGGATTCGCAGAAATCCACTTTGCAAGCAAAAAATCATGGCTAGAAAAATAAAAATTCCACCAAGAACCATGTCACGCATCATTAAAGAAGACCTTGGCCTTAGTGCTTATCAAAGAAACACCGGTCAGCAGTTGACAGATGCTTTACGTCAAATTAGAGCGACAAGAACGAAAGTTGGAAAATTTAAAAATACAAATATTAAAAAATGTAATGTTAAACATAACTTTTAATCTAACAAAAGATCTTTCATTTTTGAAAATTTTAAGCACCAAATCATTCTTTTATATTATATATTTGAAAAACATTAATTTAATAGTTTATATTTATAAGATTTTATAACTAAAAATTTAGTTTTTGTATTTAAAATTGTATGTTTTTTCCACATTTTATAATGCATATTTTTAAATATTTAAAAAAAAAAACATACTTGACTTTAGTTATTATTTATTACCATGGCACAGCAAGAATTGTACTAATTACACTTATAGATTATTTTACTGATAACTAGAAGCCTATATCCTAAATATTTACAAATGTGTAAAAGTAAAATGTAACTAAAATATAATATATGTTTTTAACAAGAAATTAAAACCTAAATGCATTTTTAATTTCAACCTCAAATATCATTCATTAAATTTGTGTTGTCATTTTAATAACATAAATATTAGAGTGCAAAATCAGTCTTAATGTAAGATATAATAATATAAATATGCATTACAATTTTCAGTAGCAAATGTCCTAGTATTGTACTAACTATTTTATATTTTTACTCTAACACTATTAAAAATTCAAAGAGGCTAAACATTTTAAATAAATATCAAAACCCAAGGAACATAAAACAGAGATGTATTATTCTCATAAATTAAGTGATTTTTTTAAATATTTATAAATGAAATATAGATTAAATAGCTACAATAACCAAAAAAAAAAAAAAATATATAAACTGCAGCCAAATTTTTCCTGTTCAGACAAATCATCTAAACTTAAAATATTTTAATAGCACTATGTATAACATACCGCTCACCCGTGCCAATCACATAAGTATTTGTACCCTGTAATGTCATGAAACTAGGATTGCATCCCAATACCCGTAGCACTCTGGGCGAGATACTACTGACAGTGGGCAAATGAGGCAACGACATCCTTGAACGGGCCCGAGGTTTTGTGCTGCTGAGTCTACTAATGGGCAACTGTGTCGAGGGATGTCTGTGATGACGAACAAACGACAACACAGACACGGGCAACCTCCATTCAAATGATCGTGTAATAGTGAACATTGACCGACTGCGATTATGGACTATGGAATGAATGCATCGAGAACACAGTTATCATCATAACAATAAAATAATAATAGTAATCAAAAATTCAAAGCCGTTACCTATCGATGTAAACCAGTAGGTAGTTGTGTTACACCTTCAACTTGACCTATAGGTTACGAGCGGTGATTGTCGACCAATATTGGCTGTAAGTGCAGTAATATCGGTTTACTATGTCATGCTACGGGTAATTTAATTTTATGACACACGTTTTTTAAGCATGATTGAATAGTTATTAATTGCATATAAAAAAAAAAGTATACATTTTTAGTGTTTTCACTTTTTACCTATAATCATTAATTATTATGAATTATGATTAAAGAATTTGACAGTGTGATAAAGAGTCATAAAATTATTGAACCAAGATAACGTTATCTCGACTCGTGATAGTAATAATATAATATCATTACATAATATATATGTATATATAACGTTGTAAATTAATATTATTAATGGCTATTGGTTTACGGCTCGAATACTTGACATTTGACAATATTCTTTTAAAATTGGTTTCAACTATTCAAGCACTGCTTTCGTATGTTATAATACAATATAATAGTAATCTTTGAATGCATCTAGTGTAGGTATCGGATTTATCCGCGGTCGGCCGCAATAAGACGATTGATTAAATTAAGACGTGGTAAATTACCTGGCATAGGTGCAATTTGAGGTGCTTAGCACCCTCAAATTTCATATTAGCTCCCCCAAATTTTTAATAACTTCATTGAATTTTTATTGATTATAAATTATGAATTATGATATCATGTCATAGACACTAGGATAAATTTGATTTTAGAACATTTCATCTTCATAACAATAATAATAAAACATACCGATCAGTGATCAGAATAATATAGAAAATATTATTGACAATTTATTGTTTATATTATGAATTATGATTAATAAATTATTATGTATTGATTACACAAAAAGATTTTATAAAACGATTATCGATAAGTCGATAACAATTACGCCGAAACGTCTTTCGACTATTTGGTAAATGAAAAACAGTCAATTAATATTGATAGAGATCTAAGCTTTAAAATTGATAAAAATGAAGTAATAAATAATTTTAGTACGTCTCAAAGACGTATATCTTTAATTTTTTTTCAATTATTTGAATCAAAATAAAAAATGTAATTACTTGTAAGTTATATTTAAAATTTGTGTTTTATTTTCTTTATTAATATTTTATTTTATTATAAATTATTAATAAATAATTAGGTAGCATAATGAAAATGTATGAATGGTGCTGTAAGAAAGTGGTGTGGAGGAAGTCACCCACAGGTCATTTTGGTCAACATAATTTAGCACCCCCATAAATTTAATCCAAATTGCGCCTATGCTAGCTGGTCTAGTAGTCACTGCTATAAAGTCCTTGAAAAAATCTGGGTAAATAACTTCAAAGTAGAAATCTCGAATTGCGTCCGTGGTAATATTTTATCTTAAGAGGATGTTTTCGCACTGTTTGTTTTCCCTTTCTGGCCCACCCATAACATTAACAAAACACATTTGCACAGAATCATTTTATTGATGTTTTTGAGTAATATTAGAGCAAAAACACATATTATTACAAAAATTATAAACAAAGGATAATATTTTTAAAGGTTTAATGTATTAATTTTATATTTTATTATTATTTGACATGGTATTCAACATTCGAAATAAAAAAAAAATTTTAATTTAAATTTAAATGACGTTTAAAATTGTTTTGAGACAATATATTTTAGATATAACCGTCTGCTGTCATAACTTGCTTACAATTTTAGAATATAGATGCCTTGGTGTAGACCGGCACGTGTCAAGACTAAAATAGTGTCCGTTTTTAATAATTTTATTTTAAGTATTTTGTTGTGTTAGAATGTATTACATTTAAATATAATTTCAAATAAAATAATTTAAGTATGGAATACATATATCAAGCGAAAAAGGGAAAAAATTATTATTAAGCATGGATTTAAATTTCATTTCCACAAAATGTTTCGAGATGAATAAATAATGTTCAACGTTGGAAGTGTTTTCGAAATATGTGTGTTTTTTTTTTTAATTACTAATCATTTTAGAATAGAGAGATGTAAAGACAACATTTATCGTGCTTGTAGAGAACTCTATTCAAATATACCTAAAAGCACGCAAGAAACACACAGTTCTTTAAGCACAATGAACATAACTACTAACAGAAACGATGTTTATTTTTTTATTTCAATCAAACTCAAGGTTATCCGTTATTGTTACATGTCACAAATATTTTTTGGACTTAGAATATAGCTCGATTTTTCTAATCAAATACTATTATTTTTATCCTTATTGTCTAGCTTGTTGAGTTTCACTCGTATAGTCGTACATATATCCGATGTAATTAATAAAAATTAATATTTTAAATTATAGATATATGAGACTAAATAGTTGTTATTTTTTCAGTATAGTTCAACATTTTGTTAGTTAATTAATACCTTTATAATTTACGTTTTAGCTTGTTTAACGTCAAAAAAAAAAAAAAATGGTACTAATATCAAGTTTCAACAGCTTAATGAAAAGAGCACAAAAATAATTGTGGACGATTATTTATATTCTTTGTATATCAAAGTACAAAAAAAAAAAAAACAAAATGGTAAAAGTGTAGTAGAAAACCAAATATAATTCCCCAGGAATACTGTCTTCATCGTTGGAGTTAACAAATTATGTAGTTCAAATTGTACACACCATGCTTAAAACAATAAACTAAAATACTAATTATTGAACACTTTAAAAAAATTAATTTTAACTTAGCTATGACAAACCTAGTCAAATATTTGCGCAAGCTACCGGTAAAATTACCATCCGATACTCTATTGTTTCAATTCAAAGATAGTGTTAAAGAACGATAAATTAGAAATCAAAGAACTAATAATAATCTTACATTTTTTATAGAAAACAAATACTTTAACCAATATTTTTTTAATATTTTATATCGTGGACCAAGTAAAAAAGCTGAAAATGTTTTAAACTCTATGTTTCATTCAAGTGACTGGGCTATAGTTAAAGGACAACAACTTTTATTGGTAGATAATAAATCAACAACTGCCAAAAGAATTATAATTTTTGAAACAACTGACAGCTTGCACATTTTTACAGAAGTCAAAACTTGCAATATAATTCAATAATATTTGAACAATTTTTAGGGAAAAAAAATGGTTACAATATTAGAACAAGATCTAAATAAAAACTGTAATAATTGATTTTTATTTTAAATAATCTAAATACAATTTTTTCATGACGACAGTTAATATTTTAACTTTTTTAAATAAATAAAAACTGACCTTTTTTCTCCTGACTTTTTTACCTGATTATTATTCACTGTTCATTTAATTGCCTAAACGTCACGTTCGACGGGGACTTTTGAGATTGTTTTATTAATTATTCGCATAAGAAAATTTTGATTTTTTTCGTTGTTTGATGATCATTTGTTTTAAGTTTTTAACTTTAAAATGTTTAAAGTTTTATATTAAAACATATTTAAAAGTTTTAATGTGTTTAAAACTATTAAAAAAATATTATTACTTACCGACTTGTATTTAAAAAACAAATCTTTGTCTTTCATATCATCAAACTAATTTATTGGTTTTATAACAATATTTAAGTTATAATGCACTACTGACGTAATTAATTTTATAAATACCCATTACCCATGATCAATATTTAGATTGTCTTAGTTTTAGTGTTTATTAATTTTACTATTTAGGTAATCTAGGTAGGTACCAAAATAACAGAGACATATATTTTTATTATAAATATATATTATTATTAATATTTTTAATATTTTTATCGAGAGCAAACTGTTTACGACTATTTATTGATACAATACATAAGACGTTTGTTCATCATAAAAACGATCCGAAAAAAGATTTGTATTAAAAATGTATTATCAGAAGAACCGGAAACACTAAGCCAATAAAAAATTAATTTAGTGATAGAGGCAAATATTTTAATAAAAACTTAATAGTTTTGACATCAAATTATTGCTAAAATGATTTTTAATAAGCTGTTTGCTGTTGGCACCTTCGTAAAAACACGATTATTTATAGTTAATGATTACAGATTATCAGATCAAAATGGGTATTGATGTAAATATGCAAGTTTAGAAAAGTGACTTTTAGAGGATTAACATTTACGAAATATATTATTTACAGAATAGTCATATTTTATAACCGTAATTTTGTAGAATGTAGTATAAATAAAATAAAATGTTCAAATTTTAAATTATAATATAATTGGAAAATTATATTATTTACAAATCCGTATTACCTTATCAACTGAGAATATGATGAAAACAAAATTCATAGACACAAACATTAGCGTTACCCATATAGTTAAGAACTCTTTATTTATTGAAATAACTAATAAAATATAGAAATCTATGTACTTTAGTGTTTATTCTAACCGCATAGAGCCGCAAATTGCTACAGAACGTATTACTCTATGATTAAATATTATTACACAAATTTTGCAATAAACATAAGTATATTTTCCGGAAGAGCCTTTACATAATTTTAATATTATACGTATAACGTATATCAAATCTTTATACCGTATACCAGTTCCATACGAAAAACCAAGTTCGTGAAATGTATATGGTTCCGATTCTTGGATGGTCGGACAGTATTTGCCACAATTATATAAAAAAGTGTTGCCAGAAATTTCCAAGGGAAAATAAATATGATGAAAAATAATAAAATAAAATAAACTATTTTATTTGTCAACACTAATATTTATATTTTCAAAACTAATTTATATTAAAATAGGCACCTCCTATATAATAAAAAAATATATTTATAAAAGGAAGTAATACCTAAACTTATTTTTTACATTAATATTATTAAGATACCTACGACAACTTTTAACATATTTTAGTTCACGTATTATCTATATTTCATGTTGACACTATTATGCATATTGATCATTGCCTAATCATAGGATACACGTAAATATGATTTCATACATCGAAAAGTTAAAAAGGACCTATCATTGGTAGCCGGTAGGTGTTGTTATCGGTAAAATAGCAAATATGATTAAAACTCTGTAAATATATTTGGAAAAACGTTTTCATTGCAATTATTTAAAGCTTCTAATTTCTATTGAATTTTCGTGCATCGTATTTTTTGTATTTTAATGTCAATAATGTCATACTATATCGTATTATACGATATATGATTTATGTGATGTAGACGTCATGTGACAAAGATAGTTATTATTTTTTTTTTAATTAATAGTAAATAATAATAGTAAAAAGTTATTAAAAAGTTTAAATATTTTTTCGGTTAGATACCTATATCAATTATTAGTCGATTATTAATTAATATTTTATAATTTATGTTTTAATATCCTATTCAGCGAAATTTGTGTGAAGGCATGCTTATATAAAAAAGACCAGTGAAATATCTTGGTTTGTCTTCCTCAATTGAGTGTCATTATATCACTAGCATTAAATTCCTTGCAAGGTTATCAAAAATAACATTAATTTATGAGCCTTACTCTCTTGAGTCTCTCTAATCTATTAATAAATTCCATCTCGTTTCACTGCCTCTTCTATGCATTGCCATTCCATGTCAACACGAAATATATGGCTAACAAACCTTTTAGGTGTCTAATATATCGACGGCCTGCAATAGCTGCAAGTACAAAACTACGATCAGATCATCGAGTTAATTCTATCTTTAAAGATTTTTATTAATCTAATTGTGTATAATTTCTAAATTGCCTATAAGTTATTATAATTGTATATTATTTGTTATTTCAAGTTTTGTATGTCTTAAAAGGCTCAGTCCGTATAATTAAAATAAAATAAATACGTAATTAATCGTAACATTGGCCACCACAAATCGATTACTAAATTATTTAAGATAAAAATTAATCAACTGATGTAATAACTTAAGACATAAATTACAAATTATATATTTCCTTAAATCATAAGTAAATTTTATAATATTGTGTAACATAATATAATTATTGACGTGTTATTGTAATAATAAAAAAAAAAGATAAGATTTACTTTTTATATTATTTGATTTAAAAAACTATACACAAATATATTTTTGAATAACAATAAATTTAATAGCTTAACAGTTATATATGATATTTGAGATTGCAGTTGTGTTTTTTACACAATTCCTCTATTTAGTATTTGGTGTGAACAATTTTAAACTACCATAAACAAATTAAGTTCAATAATTGTCAAACTAATTCTACTACTAATTTTGATATAGATCATAACAGAAATAAATGCCTATTTATTTAAATATAATATGGAGAATGGTAAAAATAACGGTACATATCGTTGTCAGAGAAATAGCTAAATATTCTGAAACCAAACTTAACTAGAAGGAATCTATGGTCATTTTTTAATATTAAATATTAGTCGTGTTCAAGATATACTAAATAATTACTGTTTGTGTGCGATAAGCTCGCTGACTTTATCGTCGCCCTCCTCCTCTCTTGTATATGTGGCATCGGCGCCTTTGACTTTGACCACCGCTGTTAACTTACTCTCGTTCGCTGGTCTCGTACGACATCGTCGAGACGTTGCCGTAAACTCTCGGCCCGTGTGTGTCGTTAAATTTTGTATCATTGCACCCTTATTCTTTTATAACGTGTATGCCGTCGTTGTATCCGCCGCTCTTGCCGTGCAGACACTAAAATATAATATATATATAGCCACCTATTATTATTTGGGCGTAAAGTTCGTGAGTTGGTAGTGTACAGTATAATCACTATAATCCATACCGGTGTTCCTTGCAGCGGAGAATTCATGCGATCACGTTGCTCAAGATCCAAGTCGTCGATATAGGTGATATCCATAATTATTATTATTGTTATTATTATCATTTGTTTTGTTTTTTTGTATATCGATTTTTGTCATATTAATTGGGCGCCCTAATTTGTTACTATTATTATTATTATTACTAATTTATTATCTTAATATTTATATTATATACTATTGTAGCACGACGGTGCGAAAAAAACAAGTTCTTGTTCGTATTATTATATTTATTATTTTTGGTCACCCGTCCCTTTTACAGGTCACCATATTATTATAGTTGTTATCGAGATAAATCTTTGGGTATTATCTTCCCGAGTATATATTTTCTTTTGTCATCACCATTTAAGGCCAACCGCCACCCCCCGCAGGAGCCTTTGTGGTACAAGTCGTATAGTAAAATTTGAATACATATAATTTTCACACATATTCATTCTTTTCGTCGTTAATCGTTACTAAGATTAAGACTCGTTTACTAGATTAAGTCTAAACTCTGAACTTACAGTAAGCACTTGCAAGGTCGTTGTTAAAATCTCTAGCTAACTTTACTAGTTTATAATTAATTTTGTATTACATTATTATGGCTATTATTTTATATATACAAAAAAAATATGTTTAAATAGTTATTCAAATACATTTTAATTGTTTAAAGCAGTTTATAAAAAGGGGGCAAATAGGTAACTGCTTTGCTGTACAGAAAGTATTGAGTGTCATAATAATATATTTGTTAAATTTGAATTCAATGATTATGTTTGGCTAGGTTATAAATCACCCGGAAATGACCTTGTAAAATACTTAGACAGTGATGGATTAATAGAGTGAAGTAAAATATATTTTGACGAATTAATAGAATTGGTAAACTCTCTAGACCGAGATAGATATGAAAGCTTAGTGGAAATTGATAAAAACCTCAAAACAAAAAAAAAATTATCTGTTTGAATTAATTTTTGCAAACAACATTACATTTATTAAATGACTAATATTAAATTTAACTATTATAATAATTAATAGTATATATAAATATATAATTTATAACAATTAATATTATATTGTAATATTATTTTTATTTTATTTTATTGCAGAACGGGCCGTAGTCGAAGTACAGATAATTATACAGACAAAAACATATCAAGATATAATAATACATAGATATTTAAGAAAAAAATATGTCAAAAGGAAAACATTAATAGGTACAATTCTAACTAATATTCAAAAGTGGCCGGGTATCATCCTAAACATGATTAAAAGCTTGGAATCTTAAAATTTATTTGACTTAATAATTTTCGACAATCAATTGAGCCATCAATAAGTTTTTTTAAGAAAGCTTGGTAAGCATAAATACGCCTATCCGTTAGGGATTTTTATCCAATATTGATAACTTACCGTTATTTTCGGCGTGAATATACCAATTCAATTCCGGATAATTTTAATTTAAGACGCTCCTAGACAATATTTTTGGAATTACCCAATAATAAAAAAAAAATTAATACACTATGTAAATATGTAATAATATAACCACTTGGATATGACAGGTACTATATACGTATTAGGTATATCTTAAGCACTGATTATACAACCCAGACTATGGACGACTACAGATTCAATATTGGATTAACCACTTATCTTTATTATGTAATTCGAGTCTCAAAAGTACAAAATGGAATGATGAAATTGTAATTATTCAATTTAGGTATAATACGCACGTTATTTTCTTACAATAATAGTATTGTTATTATATTTCTAAGAAAAAAATGTCTTACTTTCCACAATTACTATTTTCTCTGTCAAACCATTTCCTTTTTTTAGCTGGCACTCCAAACCGTCACAAACAACAACGGTGACATCTGAAATAACCATCAATAAAACGTGTTATGCAGTATAATATATTTCTACACTACAAATTATAATCCTACAATTTTGTACATAATTATAAAATAATAACGTAGCGTTATCAAAATCTAAAATAGGGAAAAATATAATGAATCAAAAATTATCAACCATTAAAAAATACATACTTTATAATCATGATTTGCCACTTATAGATAAAGGCATAAAGCGCATGAAAAATATTTCCAAAACAAATAAAGTATCAGTTATAAAAAAAAAACATGAAAAATATTTTTTCTCAATACCTCTTCTCCACTAAGACAAGAACGCCAACGGAAGGTCATATAGTTTTTAATTTTATGTGATAAATATATATTTTTTATATTGAAAATGAACAAAACACTGTAGAAATAGGCGCATATTCCTTTAATTTAATTTTCTATGTTATCTATATTTATAGTATTTATTTTTTTGCCCTTTAACACAGATCGCAGTCCATAATAGATGTTAATCAATAATAATAGTGTAGTAATCATATTTCTTGATATATGCCTAGTAAATAATAAATGATAATATGATAATTTCTATTCGTCCAACAGTGTTGATAAAAAAATCAAAACGTTTATCGATGTTCATAACATGTAGGTACCGAACGTTTTGATAAACTCGTAAGGCCGAATTTTAAGTATTATATAATACTAATTAGACCACTATTAATTAATATACTAACAATGTAATTCAGTGTTACAAAAATGATTAATTACTTCACCAATTTTTACCATGATGGCCATCACGTGAAACATGGCGTGCTCATAGCAGTTATATATTTATTCATTATAATTTAATCGAATTCATATCTGTTCTGTTATATTTCTGTTATAATTCCTATGACTTAATGATTTTTTTATAATTAATATTATTCTAGACAGGCAGGTAGCTATATATTTTGTGCAATACTTTTGTGACCTATGTCAACACGTTAACGCAGCATGATGTACGAGTATGCACGTATCTACACCTAAACGACTTTGAAAAATATCAAACAGACCTACGCGACTATAGGGTTTCGAATGTAATTTTCGGGCCAAATTTATAAATGAATAAATTGTAATATTTTATCCATATTCTGTCGAATATCAAATGATCCAAGATCGTCGTATTAAGGAGAACTTTTTGTATGATCCCTATCTCACAAATCGTAAACACCTAAAATTTAAAAAAAATCTGAACATAATTACACATGTCATATTATGTACTTTTTGATTATAAATCTATTCAGTATTACACGGTAAAAAAATAATAAATGTTTCGGAGATAAGTAATATATAAAATTCTCATATTGAATATTATTTAATCTTCGACTATATGTATACTTCTTTATATGGTATAAGTATACCATATAAAAAAAAAAAAAACTATATATATTTTTACCGTATAGTCACAGAGCGTAAGACTGGAAATTTAAAATATTTAAAATGTGTTTGGATTGTAGAAATATAGAACCCAAATTTTGTGCGAAATGAATAAGAATGTGATATTCGTTTGATTAAATAATAATTTCATACAAGTACAATTATAATATTATTACTATCGATACATAAATCTAGATGCCCTTGTATAACCCAAAAATAAATAACCATATAAAGCCGAAATTTTCAAATATAATTATTATGTATTATTTATTACTTAATATTTTTCAAAAAATATTTATCGTAGAAATTTTTCATTATTACTTAAATTATCATTTTTTATAAATACTCAATGAAAATGTCAACAAATGTAAACAAACTTAAATCAATTCATAAGTATTTTTAATTTTTTAATTTTTTTTAAATGTTGATAAAAAGTTTTATATTTGGTTATAAAGTTTCATAATTTAATATAGGATCCCATAAAAGTTTACCTTAAAGAAATTAAAAAGTATTTAAAATACATATGCACGATTTTCATATTGTAAGTGTTTAATGTTTAAATTTTGGAAAAATTCGTCCAAATTACGAGTACTAACCTTTGTAACACACCTACCCGTTTAATAAAACAAAGTGGCTGTCGATATTTATATCTAATTCTATCCAGTTAAAGAGTAGTTGGTTAGCTATTCCCACTACACGAACCGGTCTTAAGGACCGGGTTGTTGAACTGATACAAATAAAGTTTTCTAAGTTATATTTTACAGGTCCTAGAAACTTATGACCTGCGCTCATAAGTAACACAATAGAAACAATGTTTAGCAACGTATTACAAGGTTTATTTAAATGACTCAATATTAATATAATTACATAATACACTATCACCTAAGTAACCCTGTTCTTGAGGGTAGTATTTGAAGATCACAGGTGTAGCGGAGTACGAGTTGAAGCAATTGAATAAATTACGATTTATCTATAAAGTAATAGGTATATAGGTTATTTTACCTATAGTAAATCAAATTAAAAATATCACTTAAAAATACAGAGATGACTATTGTCTCTATCTCACAAACCAAACTCGTCTGACTAGCTATTTCAATGATTTGCATATACTCGTATTCTACGTTCCTGTGTTCTTCTGACCTAAGCAAAAATCCCAGAGTGCAGCATAAATGAGGCGTCAGTAACATGTATATCGTTACACCTTTACAAATTATTTTGTATTTAGAAATTTCAAAAATGTTATTCATTTATACCTAATTATCCAAAACAATTTTTTAATACAAGATTTCTCATAAGTTTTCATTATAGGACTTAAAAAAAATTTAAATGAAAACCATTCAAGGTTCAAAGAAAAAAATTATTTTTAAATATTGTAGTAGTTTATATACATAAATATAAATATATTTGATTATATTATTTATATTGTTTTTCATATTCGAATTTTCAATTCTGAACTTTAATCATAAGATAAATAAATATTATTTTAAAAAATTAAACATTTTATATTATTGTTTTCACTGTTTAAAACATTTTGATATTTACTGTTCACAATATTTACACATAAATTCAACGTTTTAGTAACAATTACCTATACGTGATTAAAACTTTTAAGAAAACATGATTTACCTATACATCGACAAATATTTATAGTGAATTAGGACAAATTGACCAATTCTTTTTTTTTAAGAAGGGACTTAAATATTTCTCTATTCATTTATTAATTAAAATAAAATATTTGGAGCTAAAGCCTTCACTCTCTAACAACAGTTATTGGCATATTGGCATAACAACCTTAGGTAATTTATTTATTAAACAAAATAAAGCATCAACAACAAATATTATTAGCGTGTAGATTATATTTTACATTTTTTTTTTATATATATATACTAAAATATTATTGTGTAAAATTAAATTAAATAATTTGGACATTTTTAAAAAAATGTATTACTTTTAAGTTTGATTCTTTGTCAGGTCCTATGATTTCTAATAATTTACTTTTTATTTCAATAAAAAACGATATTTTGCTGTGGCAAATTAGGTTACAATATAATCAACATCGTGTTAAATATTATAACTCATAATACAACAATAAACTAGTTTTGTACTAGTTGATACTTGATAGGCGTATGACAATGATATAATATGACACTCTCGTATCATGAATCATGATAACAGCTTTCACGATTAGCAACCATCACATTTTACTAGAATTTTTTACTTAAACATTTATATTACGTCATTTTATAAATTAATAACATATCTTTCAATATTGAAAATAACAAGGAAAAGTTTTATTACGTAGTATTTACTTTTTCAATGTTAATTTTTTTCTTAATTTAAGATTAAAGAAACAATTTTTCGTGAAAAACAGTATTTAATATTAATTCGAGGGTGGTAAAACAATGTTTGGGAGGGAGGGATTAGTAGTTATCCCCACCAAGCTCCCACTTAGTTGCGAACATGTTTATAAGCATGTCCTGTACTCTGCATGTAGACATGTAGTTCATAAGTATATTAACAGTGGTTAGTTTTGGTGCAGTGCGGTCGGCGAAAACAATTAATGTGGAGCTTCTATTATTGTATTACAAATAATGTATTACTTAATTTAATCCAATATATTATGAAATTTCAAGTTAATCAATAAGCCAATAAGGTAAGATAAAATGTCCTATTTTTCAGGATAAAATTATATAGTTTTATGATAAGTTGATTCATGGATGTTTGTATTTATAGATTTGGCACTTATATAAAAAATATTATGTTATAATTTCAAAGATTAATATATTATTACTAGTAGGTAAACGTTTTATTGTATTTGTTTATGCGTCAAGCGTCATATGTACCTTGATTATAGGTTACTATAATGAAATTGTTAAATTTGAATTCAACGATAAATCAACTTATACGATTAAAAATGATTCTGAGTGTAGAAAAATACAGTACATCATTGTAAAATCAATACATGCATTGCTTATAGATAGATATACTCAAAATCTAAAATTTCATTACTTTAAATTAGGATTTAAATTATTATTCGAATGTAAGTCGTTATAATAAGAATTAATATTCTACTATATATCCTAGTAATATTTACATAGTTATACATATATTAACTGTATTTTGCATAACTAATTTTAATGATTGGAATTGAACTTTAAATGGGGAAAAATCGCAAAAAAAGTGTTTACATATCTCTCTAGGGACGAGGTGATAGGTGATCGTAAAAAATATGCATACGAAATCAAAAAAAATAGAAATTGTAAAAATATAATAATATAAACATAACGTTTATTCCGTGTTCTGTGCACGTGTTATGTGAATCGCACGTAAATAAAATAATATACGATAAACGAACGGATTATGAACAAGTAATGAGTTTATTAAAATAATATATTATTGACGGCGGCGGCATGGCACGACCTGACAATAATTATTTTAACGTTGTATAGGCTCAAGGCCACGGCCATCGGATTCGCCAATTATGGTATTTATTTTTTTTTTCATATTTTTTTCTAATTGTTCACTACCTTTCCCACTCGACGACTACACCACGCGTCAGACACGTGAAACAACAGATACTACATCGAACCACCGCGTGCACGCTGACGATCGAGAAATTCGAGAATGACGGGAGGAAACCGCCGCCGCGTGAGGCCCGTTCTAGTGAATGAATAGAAAACCTGTCCATGCATATATTTTACATTTTATTTATTAATTATACGAATATATCTGTACGTATGACTGTATATATATCGCTTATAACGTATAGTGTATACATGCAGTTTAAGCAGCTTTGGTTACCTATTACTTATGTTTTTATGATATATTAATATTATGATAATCGCATCGTCCAGCAGACGACCAATGAATAT